TATATTTTTGATACATTTATATAAAAAAGATTATATATTACATTTCATTATATGTTTGCCATTCAACCACTGTGCAGCTACTGTTGTCACATAGAATTGACAGCCATTTGTGTCTGGTCCCCGATTAGCCATCCCCAAATAACCGGGACGATTATGTTCAATTTCTATGTCTTCATCTTCAAAATAATCTCCATATATGCTCGTAGAACCGGTACCGTCGCCGTTAATAATATCACCGCCTTGTATAAGGAAACGATTTATGACACGATGAAAATTGGAGCCCACATATGTGGAACCATTTATGCCCCGCAAGCATATATGCCGAAAATTTGTCACAGTTTTTGGGGAATTCTTACCAAATAAACCGAATACAATGCGACCTAATGATTTCTTTTGGTGTTTAACATCCATATAAATTTTGGATGTAACAGTAAAACTTAAGCCCTCTACTGCTAAACAATGCAGCAGAGAAAGCACGAACAATAATAAATTCTTAATATTCATATTTGTGTTATGGTGTGTGATGTGCTTTGGTGCCGTTCACGTTACTAATTAGTCTTTGGTATTAGAGATAAATTTATCGGCATGGTTTTTCCTTATTTTTTATTTGACAGAAGCCTTAGAAATAGAGACATGCATTTTATTGTAGGTTAAGTTTACCGCAAGTCCCCACGTTAGTCTTCTATGTGAAAATATTGATTTTTTACTTTAATGTCTTTTCCGCTTTGTTTCTTTCTTTAATAGAGAGAACACGCTCCTCATATCAACCGATTCGCATAAATTATTTTTATATGCATGTGTATGTAAGAACATTAAAAACACTTGAATAGCAAAGGAGATTACTCAACACTTCGCCTTATATACATTGCTTCCACAAAGTATGCGTACGAATTTATATTAAAATTTTATCGGTAAAAATGTATATACCAAACTAATGTAGCATAAAAATTCTTATTGGCTGTGGATATATTTCTTGACTTAGTTTAAAGGAAAACTTGCGATGCTACTATTTAAACCGAATATCTAGGATCATGTTGCCAGTAGATTCGTATTAAAATTTTTTTTCTTATTATGTTAAAATAACTTCGTATTCTGCTCATAAAAATTTCTGGCAAATAGATGACCTAACTGTTCGCCACTGTTTTATTACAAGCAATCTAGGATAGATTTGGCATATTTTTCACCTGGCGGATACTTTGAGCGGTTTTCTTTTTGGATACAGATATCGGAGCTGCTATAGCAGCAGTTAATCAGGACGAAAATGGAATTTGAGCTCTTTTTGTGGTTGCTGCTAATGTAATTAGACTTCCAATTAAAATTGTACAATAATCATTTTTTATTACATCTAAATAAAAAATATAATTTCATCTACCATAATTTAATATTCAAGCAATTCTTAATAATAAAGCTACATCTCCAATTAGATTTGATAAAACAGTCAATATTCCTGCAAGGAGGAAATTCGTTCTCAATTTTTTTTTATCTCTGATTATTCCTAGAGGCTTTAAAAATTGGGACATAATCAAAGAGAAACATTTCTAGTTGCGTCCTATTGGAAAACTCACTCATCCAGAAGATCTTTGCATTTTAAATGAAGGAAGGACAGCGCACCCTATGCATTTTTTCATATAGTTTTTTTTTGAGATATGCTCTTAACGTCTATTTACTATCTGAACAAATACATTTTGTGTTAGCATTTCTGTTAACTGTACGCTTTACAATCGTTTTAATGTTTAACGGACGTTAAATATATGCAAGTTGCAGGTGCTTCTAAGCAGTAAACTGCATATACATCTTACTTAAGTTTGCTTTTGCTACTTTTTTTTTTGTAGTGATTGAATTAATGTTCAGCTAGTAAATTTCTCGCATAAGATTTACAACCCGCATAACTCTATCATGCAATCAATGGAAATGAAGCCAATGCCTGGTTCATCCGACCCCGGTTTGCACTATTGTAACTTGCTCAGTGACCATAGAGGTGTCTTCTTTACCGATCCAAGTTTCGGTACTTAATTTAGCATGCTCTCAGTCCTCGGATTCAGTGCATATACGTGGCGATCAAGGTACAGGGAGTGCCGTGTCATGGGTCTAGATAAGTTTATCTGGCCTGATGGTATTTTAATTAGGAAGTTTATGCCGAGATTAAATGTTTCAAGGGACAAACATAGTGGCAGTGCGGGGATCCGTAAACTCAATGGTAATGGCTACAATTACCATACTTTCTAAAAGACAAAGTGTCAGCTCTCTGTTGTTTATCAAAACGTGAAAGGCCTAAACACTCAGCTGAAGTACGTTTACCTTAGTTGCTATGTTTTTTCAGTATTAACATTAACAGACACTTGGTTGAAGTCCACCTCGTTTTTTAAAATTGTGAATTTTTCTATTATCTTGTTTGTGCCAGCGTCCCATCCTAGTGTGGAGAGCACACAACCAACCTTGTTTAACCCTAAGCTACTTTTCAGCAAAAACACACACACTGCTGCACATAGGTTCAGACTTCAATCCAAGAACCATATTAAACGTACATTCGTTGCTTGGCGAAATAAAACGTAAACCTTACAACGACAAACGGCATTTTCCACCTCAGAAATTTTATGTAATAGAGAATGCTAGACCTAAGACCAGTCCATGCTGCTCGGCTCTTACCGTCGAAACAAATTATTTCATACGTGTCAAGGCGTACTCGGCATGAAGCATCCCATGAAATGTTAAGTTGAAATATATTTATTTCATATGTGTCAAGATAAATTCGCCAAGCTGAACTTTACATATCAAATGTTCTTTGGCATGAGACAAGGTAATACGTTGCTCGAAGTTCAAAAAGAATTTCTTATTTTATTACTTCATTGCATTACTTATATACTCTTCCTTACAAAGTATATTCTTTTAAATTTCGTCTACTTACATCAGCATAATTATACTATAAACATAGACAATTAATATAGCAGGCCTGCTATAATATAAAGCTTACATTATTTGTTTTTGGTAAAAATTTAAAGGCAGTCTTTTCACAAGCGAATCACTTATTTTGGTTTTCATTTATCTTTATTTTTGGTGTATAAATTACTCTATACATTGCAGCTTTACCCTTAAGAGAAGGAAGTTGTTTGTAAGCATGTACAATTTTGTAAGAGTCTTTATAAGTTTTTTATTGCTGATTATTACAAGTCATTATACTTACAAATGTTTGAATTATAGTTTCTGAATGTAAAAATGCATGTACATGTTCTTATATATATGTGTTATTTTATTTACAGATTGTAGAGGTTATGATAAATTATTTTATACCACTTTTAAAGGCTTATTATATTGTAAAGTAAATCCCTCTTTTGGGATTTCATCTCCTTTTGAAACCAAGTTCGGACCACTGAATTGTGATTTTTAGGTAAGTCTTTCCACTGACATTGCCTTCTGCAAATATTGTGCTTACATACCCTTTCACAACCAAATCCGTTTTTTCACTAAATTTCTGCCAGCTGCATGAGGAAAGCAACGCGCCTTCAATGTGTACTTGGTTTTCCAAATATGGCATTTTCGTAATAATAATTATGAAATTATAAGTATATTGAAATAGTGTATATTTATGGTAATGTTTGCGTAGTTACAACATTTCTTAGCTAACTCATTGTGGACATTCTTAAGTTTATACTTTGCTTTTATAGTAATGTTAGATTGCATTACTTTTATGACTTCGAATGGTTCTTCATACGCCTTATCTATTTTCTTTCTATTCTTTTCATTAGGATTAGATCTCCTATCTCAATATTTACTTGATTAATATATCTTTCTTCTGAATTTTTTCATTCATATTTGGTAAGAATCTTTTGGTTTTCATTTTTGGTAAGAATCTTTTGGTTTTTTCTAGGAAATATTTCAGTTTTGTTTTTAATTCATTTGTAAAATTATCTAAGTTAAAAGGAATTTGTTTGATTAGTATTCTTTTATTGGGCATATAAAATTTACCATATATTAATTCGAATGCTATATATTATTTTTAAGTGCAGGATTGTTGCAATGTACAAGTTGTTCATGTTAAGTAAAAAACGGTCCTCATTTTATATGCTGATTATATGGCATTAGTTGAAACTCCTAATGACTTAATATCAAATATTTGCAACTTTAGAAATCTGCCCGTGCGGTAGGTACGGGGGGTTGCTGGGAGGCCCCGACCATACCCCGGATAAGGAGATCCGTTACAAGTTTTTCTTTATTTTATGTCAAAATCGAATGATTCTTAAACATTACATGATGTCGCATTTTTGATATATACAACATTGATAGTGGCTTTTTTTGTGAAACTATTCTACTTAGCGGCTCGTTTTCTGTGAACAGAATTAACTTTCAGGCGTAAAAAAATTCACACAATTGTTCTTACGCCGAAACTAAATGTTCACAATCAATTTAACAATACCGTTATTACATAGCTGATAATGTATGTGAAGCACGTTCAGTAGGTTTATTAATTTCATCTACGAAGCTGTGACTTATAACACAACAAATACTCCTAAACTACCGGCAATTTAAGACTGTAGAGTGCTAGTACGTCATTTGATTTCATTTGTTCCTCAATTCCTTCCTTCCTCTTCACCATCTTTACTCAATTCAAACCAGAGGAATTTCTTTAATAAATTGTTGTTTGATAATAAGAGGGAAATGAAGCCGGGAAAATATCTGCCATAATTACCCAAAGGCCAATTATTGCAAGAGATTCGCCTGTATTATTTGGTCTGCGCAATATGTTAAATAGCGTCAAGATTTTGCAGTATTTTATGTATGCCGAGGTGGTCGATTACATCGTGACAGTGTCCTGTTTTATCCATTAAAAAACAGGTTTTTGCCTATTAACTCCCATGCTGCATTCGTCTAAACGTGTTAGTACCTCCTCCAAACAATACAAATATGTATCGTCATTCGGACGACATCTTCAATGAATACTGTCATAAGACTGTAATAATTTTTCATGTTGCCATTTAGTTGGACCATTTGCAACCCATACCTAACTTTTGCATTATCATAAAAACTAAAATTCGTATTTAATAGTAACGTGAACTTTCATTCGCAGGTAAACCCAATTTATCCAATTTTGTCTCCACCAGCCGTATTTCCAAACATTTTATCAATGGATGGTAATCGGAACTCATCAAAAATTAAGCATGAATTTACGGTTACTTAATAGTCCGCATATTCGAACTTTTCCATTAATATTCGCGATATGCGATCGGCGTATTCAATATCATGTGAATTCCCTTTTTGTAAGAAGTCTTCATTGACCAATGCGTTTATTTCATCTTCAAAAGCTCCTTTGAGTGCAAATGGGAGTCGACGAGGTTTTAAGAATTTTGCTGTATATTTACTCTTAACTCTATAAATTGTGTATATTTTATTTTCCAGCAGATTCATTGAAATCGCAGTTAATTTCCGTAGCTGAGCTTGAAGATGCAGTAAAATTACAAAATTCAATGTATTACCAGCCTTATGGTCTCTAATAATTTAATTCCAATTCA